CCTAGATTATTGATCTGGTAAAAGAACGTCTATACGAGAGAAGAAAAATCCTTTATATTACCACCAGAAACAAAACTACCAGTTGCCCAACATAACACGGTGATTAAACGTGCTGTTCTTATTACTTGGTGAATGCAGCAGACCGTGCCTATAAAATTGTGTCTTTGTGATTCGCAAAAAAAAAATTATGTCCTTGTGAAGCAGAGAACCGCATACAACTGTACATGCAGTGCACCACTTGCGTAGCAGAGAAAGGAGAGAAGAGATGAAGAAGAGGGAGGGTTCTTCTGTGCATTGTGGTTGCTGGGCTTGCCCACATCGGCGGCGACGAGTCGGTCACCAAGTGGCCAACGCACACTGCGCCGGTCCTGGTCTATCCTCTGCCAACAAAGTGTCCACCGGCCTTTAAAATAAACTGCCACCAGAAACAAAACTGCAGTTCCCTCACAAAACACAGCAATTAAAGGCGTCATGTTTAATAGTTAGTGGTTGCACCATAACATGCCCATAAAATCCTGGCCTTGCGAAACAGAGGACTGCACTTGCATTTTATGACGCTACTTTTTGGATTTTTAATAAGATGGTTGCATGCATTATCATGATGTAGAGGCCGAGGCATGCCTTCATTTCCAAAAAATTGCACCACTTGCGAAGCTGAGAAAGGAAAGAAGAGAGAAGAGAGAAGAGAGAAGAGATGAAGAAGGCAAAGGAGGTGAGTAAAAAAGAGCCATGCACGGAGCTGTAGTGGTGCTTCTCTACATGACGGTTGCCAGGCTTACCTTGTTCGGCGACGAGGAGCCGACAGCCAAGTGGTTTGCGCCCACCATGCCGGTCCCGGCCTGCCCTCCGCCGACAAAGTGCCGGCACGACAACACCGTGATAATCATGGCACTGGTCGTGTTTGCCCCGATGACTCATCTTTTAGCAAAAAGCCGCTCCACAGCAGTAAAGTCTCGTCTTTTGTATTGGCCGAAGTGACAATAGTCACATTGAGCCCTTGAAAATGCTCGAAGATCTCCCATGTGTGGATCGCCCGCTGCGCAGGGTCTATTCGCCGCCCATGTGGATGTATCCCTCGGTGTCGCCGGCTAGGGTGTGGTGACGATCAGGGACCTGCGTGCGCGTGAACAACACCCTCATAGACTCCAGGACTTCCATTAGTAAGATAAATAAGATCATGTTCTCTTGTTCATAGGGAGAGGCGGATGGCTGGCTCACCTGTACTAGACACTATATACGCAATTGCAGAAATTCCTAGGGCATGCAGGTGCGGGGGTACGCACCTGCGAAAACGCCTCCGGCCGTCCATTTGCGCCGAGATCTGAACACAAGTTGGCAGCAATTGAAATTAGCTCCCTCTAAATACGAGACAATATACGCATCTATTCTGTCAAGATACTTTCGTCCGGAGTTGTTATACGTCCTCCAACCTGTACGTATGCCACATCCCCCATCCTATTACATACATTTTTTTTCGAAAACGAGACAGGCGCCAGCCTTTGCATCAGAACGATGCATACAACCAAATTATTAATAAACAACAAAATGTTCTACAAAAGTCTTCCGGTCTCAAAAGTAAAGAAGCTCAGGAAAGAGCAAAAACATTATGACAAGATAGCCACAACCGGCAGGCAAAAATATAAGATAGGAAACTAAACACCTATCCTATTAAATGGCCGTCATCCAAACCGGTTGAAGATATCCCGAGCTATCGTCTCCGAACGGATAGATCCAGTAACCAAACGCTCACTGGCCTCCGTCGGAGTGAGTAGCGACCACATACGGATGAGTGTAGTGGATCGGAAGATAACCTGCAAGAAATGAATTTTTGTTGTTCTGTTAAAAAACCAAATCGTTTCTACAGTTTCAGACTGCCCATAATAAAGCACATACTCCTACACGGATATGTCTCGCAGTGTCGGAATCTAATCCATCTAATCACGTCCCAAATAACATGTTGATGGTATTCGGAGGAGTAATATTAAAAGCTAAGTGCAATGTTTCACAAATTTTTTGCCAAGGGACAATCGAGAAAGAGATGTTTGATGGATTCGTCCTTATCACAGAAATTACATCTTGTAGATCCTATCCAATTGTGTTTTGTCAAATTGTCCTTGGTTAGAATGACTTGTTTATGTACAAACCACATAAACACTTTTATTTTCGAAGGCACTTTTACATCCCACACATGTTTCAAACGAGGAATAGCACTAGAGTTGATAACATCCAAATACATGGATTTAACCAAGAACTCTCCATTCTTTGTTAGTTTCCAGCTCAGCCGATTGGGTTGTTGAGAAAGATGGACCTCCATCAATCTACACACTAAGTGGAGCCAAGCTTCCCAATGATTTCCCGCTAGAGTCCTCCTGGATACCTTGGTCGACGACTTCACTCTACTGTTCACCTTCTTCTTCCTTGATTCTTTCTCTATTCCGGTACTGTATCACGCTGCTCTTTCTCTACTCTTTTCCTTCTTTGGACTTAGCGGATATGATTTATAGCACGCAGGTCCGAGGGACTTCTCAGATTGTACTGCCTTGGTTTTTCGCAGGTTCATGTCATCGTTCTTGGTTTCCTCAAAAAAAATGTCATCATTCTTGGTATGAACTCATCAGTTTGAACTGCCGTGCTGCTTCGCAACTTTATGTAATTGTTCTTCCCATGAACTCCTACACTCCTTTTGCCACTAGTTTCTTTTCTTTTTTTCTCAAATATGCATTCTTCTACCCAACATGTGCATGCTTGTACTGTGAAATGTCAATTTGTTGAAAGACTTCGATGCCTTCGTTAGAAATTTTCCCAACGAGATACCATTTCGACTTTGTTCTTCCAAGTGCACTCATTTCCTAATTTCTTCGTTAAACACTAAGTGGAACCCTCGCCTGAAAAAAGAACCGAGTAGAAAAAGTAATGCAATAAGTTTAAAAAGATGTGCCAGCAAAACACATAGTAGAGATAACTAATTACTGAACAAATATGGCATATACCAAATCCGACGCTTCAGGCGATTCTCACGCGCCATCTCAACCGACACGTAATAGGGGAAAGACCATTTCATTTTGTGGCAACACCCTGCAACAAATGAATAATTAACCTTAACTACAGGACCCAGCTTGTTTTCCATGGCATCCATAGCCAATTAACATCTGAATCTACACAGATAGTGGTAATTCTCCTTAGCATCTTTGGTGTAATTGCAATCTAATCATTTAATTACCTAAAAAACATCTATGTCAACCATCTTTTCTTTTTTTTTTCTTTTTTCTTCTAATAATTTGGTTGTATGCATATGTCTTGACTAGCTCTTAACGTAGTGTCATTGCAGAGATCAGCTTGGTATTAATATACTGCCCTTTATGAAGGTAAAAATCAGAATAGCACCATGCATCTTTTTTTCTTTTCTTCTAAGAAAGATATTTAAGAGACAGTTTGGTTGTATGGCCAATTTAAGGCCCATCTGATGCCACGATTTGTTCTACAATCATTTTAACACCTAGATGACGCTAAGGCTTTGGCAAGGGAGATCCCAGATTTTGAGTGATCGCCTGTTTGCTATTTATATGAGAGATTTCATGGTAACTCTTAGTTTTCAGAGTTGCTTTTGTGATTTTTTGGATCTTTAATCCAAAGCATTATACCTGTGAATCTGTGATGGTCGTATTTAAATAGTTACAGGTATTTCTAGAGAAATATCTCATCCGGGACTTCAGGCGCCAGAGAACAATTTCCCCTTCTCATAAACTGAAGACCTTCTGAACTTCAGTCCGTGGATCGACATGGCAGGAGAAGCAGTTAGTCTTACAGATAGGTACGGACAGCAGATAATCTGTCGATGTTACACCAAATCCAGTGCAAACATATGCTACATTCCTCATTCCAAAAGTGACAAAACATATAGTATTATGCATCCATCAGCTGCAAAACAAATGGATACATGATCAACATATATATTTGTATTTTGTTCTTCAGAGAGAGGCATATAATAGGGCCATGAAAAATTCGAGATCTTGTGCAGCTCGGCTAGAGACAATGTCACGGACATAAAAGCCCCCGCAATGTGTATATTTCATGACACCAAGTCACATGGCTCGCTGTGCAGCAATTGTCTCAGACCCTTGACGACAGTGCTCATGTTTGGTCGGAGATCTGGATTATAATGCACACATAGCGCTGCGATCGCACCCATCTGCTTGCCAAAAAAAGAAAGTAATCAGGAGAGCAGTCACTTGGTCCCTCATACCTCAAGAACACAAAGATTATGCCAAAAATCAGTTTCACCTTTTTACCCCCTAGCTTGTCATTCAATCAAGATTATAACGTGTTAATTTCCGTAATGCAGAAGGATATGAAATAAGGAGCAGCATGGCTGGTGAAACTCACAAAGACAATCTCAAGCCAAAGCAGGGTGGTCAAGGTTGCTTTCAAGGCCTAATGCACTGTACGCTATTAATCAAGATGGGGGTTCTGGAGCAGTTGCTGATGAATAGGCTTCCTGAGCTGTTTGTACAAAGTCGGTGTCTTTTTTTTTTTGCCTCCTGCATCAGATCTTAACATGTTACCTGGATTGATTTTCGTTGCTTCCTGAGAAGCTTTTTGTGCAATAGATTACCGGTTTTCTTTGCCTCACTGGATGCTCTTGACACGAGCGGGTTTATCTTCATACCCAGAAGATTTATCCTCAATTTTCAAATTTGTACCAGTATTTACCCCAGGAGAAATTTCCCACGCTTCTTATAGCCCAGACCCGCTATTAGGCTGAGGTGGCGTGCCAACTCGCTGCCACATAGCCAGACTGACATGGGAAGTGCAGCGAACGTGCGACGCGACGGCCATGATGGGATCGGAGGAGCCATGATGAAGAGGGCCAATGATAGGATCGTGTGGGGTGCTACCTCTTCCCTTCGCAGGTGGCCAACAAATTTGAAACTTGGGGGTACAAGATGGTCGGGATTGGAACAGGGGGTACCTTGATAAACTTTGGGCTAGAACGTTGAATTAACTCTTATAGCAATGGAGATTAAATCCTATCGTTTATTTGGTGGAATAGACTACAGCGGTTTGAAAATGACATCTCCTTGCGCCATTGCCTAGGATTCACCGCTAGTTTACTCGGTTAAACATGGTAGAGTTCAGGATAAAATGCATACATTGGTCCCCTAAAAAAATACATACCTTGGTAACAGCATTGTGAGGGTAATCTCCTTCAAGCCTTGGATCCACGCATCGCTGCACCTTATCTTCACTAAGACTTGTTTCTGTCAACACATTATCTTCCATAGAATTGATGTATGCCTGTGCATCAAAGTCAACAACAGTTTAGCTAATGCACCTTATCAAGACATTATACACATGTCAAGGCATACCCATATAAAGGGGTTCTTGTCACAATGGGTGCATAGGCCCTTCTCGCCAAGGGTGCATACCCATGTCACGAGGCTCTGCCTGCCGCGGGGTAGTGTATGATCAACTGCCTTACGACCGGTTAAAAGTTCCAGCAGCACAACCCCGAAGGCATATACATCACTCTTTGTGTTGCACTGTCCAGTAGCAGAATATAAATCGACATGGTAATCATCCTCGTGATAACCATGACCATCCATACGATCCAGGTCAAGGCCACATCTAAAACTATGACATCTACTCATGTTGTCACTGACCAACACATTGGAGATACCAGCGTCGCCAACCTTTGCGATGTCGTTGTCAAAGAGAAGTATCTTGCTGGATATGATGTTACCATGGGTGACCTGAGGCTCTGCCTTGTGATGGAGGAACTCCAGCCCTTCTGCTGCACTTAAGGCAATCTTCACTCGCTGCATCCATGATAGAGCTGCCCTTGACTTGGCTCCCCTGACACCCTTTTTACCTGTGACCATAAACCAGAAGAATATCGACAGACATGTCACTCGTATCACATACTAGACACACCACACTAAGTCTTTTAAAATTGAAGGTTTCGTAGAGGGTGAGTTCTTTTGAGTGTTGCTCTGTTCCTTACATAGCTGGTGTTGAATTGACATACTATTTTTCCCTTCAATAAAAGAAAGGTGTGCTGCATATTGCGTGTTTTTATAACAAACTGAAAATTTATATACAATTCCTCACCCTTGCTGTGAAGGATATCATGCAAGGTGCCACCCAATGTATACTCATATGCAAGAACATATTCGTCTCCTTCGACCCAACATCCGAGAAGTTGGACAACGTTCTCGTGTTTCAGTCTCGAAATTGCTTCAATCTGCCACAGAAATATGCCAGTTAAAGGCAAGGCCTTGCTGTACTAATAAATGAAGAGTGTCAATTGAAATGGTGAAAAGACAAGGCTCGGAACCATAACCTTCAAATCAATTTCTTGAGAAGAGTTGAATGCAGATTCCGGTCCATATTTTAACACTTTGAAGAAAACTCTGCCTTGCGAACTCTCTCCTATTAGAGCACCATTACTGAAGTTCCTTGTTATTTTCTTCATTTCATCAAGGGAAATAGTTGGTACATCCTGTGCATTTCCTCTTCTTATGTGCCAATTATTGATGTCCGCATAGGGGGGGCCTTAAATAAACAACAGTATTGTATGAGGAGGTAAAGTTTCATTACTTGTGAGTTGTGAGACACGCTTAGAGTAAATTGTGCTTAGCACACATGAATGGGAATGACAAAACTACGGTGTCATGTACCCTTCTATACCAGCCCTTCTATTACCGGAAAAGGTTTTCACCCCACTTTATATATAAAGCACGATCCTAACAACCCAGTACAAACGCACGCCACCATAACACACGCACACACGCAAGGCATGATACATAGGCGCTGAGCGCGACAACACCACCCCTAGCACTATCACCGCGAAGAGATAAAGCTGCATATGACGAACCGTGGGCACCAAGACGGCGCCTTCAGGAAGGACACGACACCGGAGCACCGACACCACCCAATCCGAGGATCAGAGTTTCCCCCGGAGCCGCACGACGGGCAATGAGAGCCGCGCCGACGCCTTCAAGAAGGGAACGAGTTTTGCCACCGCCGGTCCATCCGAAGATAGAACAAGTTTTCACCCCGGCCAAAACTCACCGCCACCGAACGCCACACCCCGGCGACCATGCCGCCCACACGGCCATGGCCACCGGGCAGCACCAAGCCATGGCCTCCGCCCGAGAGTACCGTGCAACCACCACCGGGCCGCTGCCCCCGCATTCAAGACCTTGACACCACCTCACCCGAGCCCTGTCGCTAACCCAACCAAAGAGACGAGCGCCGAGACCCAATAGGCCGGCCACCTGGCCTCCATCGCCCCGTCCTGCAGAATCGGGCGCAAGGTGAGCTTGGTCCCGCACCACCGTGCGCGAGACAAGGTCAGTAGGAGTCCTATTGCACCGTGCGCGAGACGAGCTTAGTCCAGCGGCACCAGGCGCGAGACGAGCTCGGACATGCGCAGCGGGCGCGAGACAAACGATGGACCGTAGCTGGGAGAAGGCCAGCCCTTCGTCGAACATAGCGACCGGACAACGAGGAGGGGGGGCCAAAGGCCGATACAAGCCGCCTACGAATGAACCGACGCCAGGACATGCCAGCCGTCGCCGAAGCCGACTTGCCAAGCCACCATGGAGCCATCCACGGTCGGAGCAGCGCCCACCCCGGCCATTGCCCCACCCGCGCCGCCCGCCGAGCTCCAATCATCAGAGCCGCCGGGCACGCACCCACACGTCGAGGCACCAAAGGGGAGGGGCACCACCGAGGTCCCCGAACATGGCCGATCCAGGTCGGAGATGGAGATGCCCAAACTCCCCGCAGGCCCCCGCCACCACGGGGCCACCACCACGAAGCCCACCACGCCACCGACTGCGCACAGGAGCCATGCCGCCTACACACGCCGAGCGCTACCGCCACCCGCCCGCCGGAGCGACGCCGCGAGCCAGCCGGAACCAGGACAGCTCCCGAAGCGGCCAGAGGTACCACCCAGCCCCGCACGCCGCCGGCCGGCCCTTGCCGTCTCGGCCCGCGTCGCCTGCCGGCAGCCGTCCCGAGCACCCGCCCGATCCCGATCTGGGCCGAGACGCCCACCGCCGCCGCCCGAGCTGGCACGCCCCACCGCGCCCTTGACGAGCAGCCGCCTGCGCCGCCAACCCAGGATGCCTCTGCTGCTCTGCCCCGGCCGCTGCCACGCCACGTCGTCCTGCAGAATGGCGTGCCTCCATGCTGTGACGCTGTCCCGCGCTAGCCCGCCGCGAAGAGTGGGAAGATGCCCCGCCGCCGCTGACGCTGGCCGGGCTTTGCACGGCGGCGCGAGCCGGCGCCGGCAAGGGGGGAGGAACGGGAGGGCTGGAGGAGAACGCTAGGGTTCGCCTCGCCGCTCGCGGGAGCAGACGAGACGAAGGGATTGTCTTTTATTACTCCCCATCACTTCCCGCCCTTTTATTTGAGAGAATTCCTTATTTGGCCCATTTTTAAAGTTTGGTTCCTTTTTGGCCCAGAATTTTGTTTTATCCCCTTTTTGACATCCAAACTTCATTTTGTTCCCTATGTGACACTTCCGTCAGTTTTGGCTATTAACGGTGTTAAGTCTGACCTAAAAAGACTGTTTTACCCCTAACGTAGTATGTGAACATATTATTTACATGCAACACAAAGGTAATGTGAAATATTTTGTCCTATTTGAATAAGAAAACAAACTTATTTATATGACTAATACTAATACTAATACTAATAATAATAATAATACAATGAGTGGAACACTGACGACCCCATTTAGCCTCTACTGTAGCATATAAATTTGTACACATTAATCTAGCGTGTGACAAGTTAATGGGTCATGTCGCATAGATGTGTTCATGCCACAAGTGCTGCACACGCACAGGCCATTGCGATACAGATCGATTGGCTCTCAGGGATAGAGCTGCAATACGTGGCAGGTTGTGTTGGTCCAATACAGACTACGCGAGTACTTCGGCGACGGCAGCGCGCGAGGATGACGATGACGGACGAAGCAACAGACTTCCGACCGAGACTAGCAAAGCTAGCTATGTACGCCACACACGTACGTACACCGGCCGTAGACAGAAGCGCACGTATAAAACAGCAGACTAATCGATCCTTGCTTGATCGATCCGCCTAGCTGCACACACAGGAAACGCACGCAATAGCTAGCTGGTTTGATACCCTCTTTGTGTCAATTTGAGATTGCATTTACCACACTTGCCGTGTGGTGTTGGTTTGATACCCTCAAAAAATAAAAATAAAAGTTAGCTGGTTTGATGGCCGCACGAACGTACACATGTACACATGTATCTAACCGGACATAACACAGGTGCACTTCGTCATATTTTTTGTTTGTTCACGCCCCTGCTCTACCCTTTTCTAATGACATACTATCCCCAGGGGCAAAATTGTCTTTGCACGTGTCAGTTAACATCTCTGGATGGAAAAAAGATCAAAGTGTCACATAAGGCACCAAATAAAGTTTGAGTGTTAAATAGGGAAGAAAACGGTTTTCTGGGCCAAAAAGGGAACTAAATTTTAAGAGTGGGTCAAATAAGGAATTCTCTCCTTTTATTTTGGCAAACATGGTGCATCTTTAACCTAAATATGCATAATATTCAAAGAAAAGTAAAATGCATTAGGTGCCTTCAAACTCCACGTCTTTGAACTGAAACTGAGGTTCTAATGCATTCCATGCACTTTACTCTAAAAAGACTTAATACATACTGAAACAACAAATGAGACTAGAGACCTAACATAATTGAAAGAAAAAAGAATTTCATGATGGCCATGCTAACAGGAAAAGGAGAATTTCTTAAATAATCAATAATCATGTACTCCCTCCATTCCAAAATACTTGGCGTGGTGTTACTTCAAACTAAAACCACGACAAGTATTTTGGAACAGAGGGAGTATTTAGTTACTTAAGTGCTTAAAAGTAGAAACTAAAGTTTGTGTGTTTTGCCTTTCACCCAAACAAGTACTGAAATTACTTATGTGTAATCCTACACATAAAGTGTTACAAAAGAAGAAGCTAAGGTTTGTGTATTTCGCATCCCACCCTACAACATATGTCTTCTTTCTTATCCGTGTTTGTCGATAGTATCTAAGTAAAAATTAAGCCTATTCACGAAAAAAAGAGTAAAAATTAAGCCATGTAAACTTTGAAGTATAGCAGCGTACATTTTTAATTACCTGTAGAGCTTTCACCCTTGTGCTTCGGGAGAGCTTTTCTAATCCTCCTAAGTCTATCTGCTACCTCAACCATTGTCGGACGCATTTTATCATCCAGTCTCAAGCATGTAACTGCTAGCTTCACAATTTCTTCGATCAATTTCATCTTCTTCTTGTCATAGGTAATTTCCACATCAAACAGTTGTCTCACCTTCTTCCCACTTCCCATTGCCTCGGCGAAACATTGAGTAAGACTAGTAGTCCCGTCCGTCGCTTTCTTTCGGGTAATCATTTCCAATAGAACAACTCCAAAACTGTATACATCACTCTTTGTAGTTAGAATCCCACTCTGACAAAACAAAGGGTCTACATAACCTATGCAACCAATAACAATTTTGGTACGCTGGGCCTCATCAGTAGAAAGCAGCCTTGCTATTCCGAAATCAGATAGCTTTGGCAAGTACTTTTCATCTAACAGTATATTGGCAGGTTTAATATCACCATGAAGGACAGGACTGTACATTGAATGCATGCATGATAGTGCTTCAGCTGATTCAATAGCGATGTCCAAACGTTTGTCCAAAGGGAAGAGTATAGGACCATCAGCATTGCTACAGTGAAGGATGTTGTAGAGGTTTCCATTACAGACAAACTCCATAACAATCATAAGGGCATTTTCCTCCGTGCAGCAGCCTAACAATCTGACAACATTCTTGTGGTTTATCTGGGAATGCACTATCACCTCCTTGGCGAACTCCTCTTTCTTGGTTCCATTTTTGTACCTCTTTACTGCGACTGGACGTTGATCGTCTAATCTTCCTTTGTAGACATCACCGAACGAGCCACTACCAAGCGAAGTGCTATATCTGTCTGTAATGTGCTCTATCTCCTTTTCAGTGAAAGACCGCAGTTTGTAGTTGTTGTCCACTCTTTTAAGTACCAAATGCCCATTAGCTTGAAAGAAATCACTAAGATTGTTTCCTTGGTAATCCATGTGCAAGCAGCATATGAAGACAAGATTTGTAGAACAGGTAGTGGCAGCTTGCCTGCATCATGATATGCCAACTAATATCAGTGTCCTTGAGATTAAAATCTATCGTTACTTATTGCAAGAAGGAATTTTACATATGTAACTGAATAAGTGGCTGTCACTGGCATTACAAAATAGCTTCATCTTCCAAATATGTGTAAGCGATTCATTTTTCCATATAAAAAGTGTAAAAAAAACATGATTATTTTGAATTTTGCAGCTAGGAAGAGCTGTAGATTTACTTTTTGTATCCTGTAATATACCGCCTAAATACAGCTGCATTTTGTTTTTGACCCAAACCAGCAGGTGCTCTGCTTTTTCTTCAAGTAGAGGGAAAAACTGCACATCAGCTAACACAGCCTACAGAAAAAGCTAAACCGAAGACGTATAGCACAGAAAGGTAAGAATAATTAAGAATCGTGAAAAAACCAGGGCTATCCCTCGCGCGAAGCAGCCCTGAAGGCCTACTCAAGGAGAAAACCACGTTAGCCGGTTCCTGTCTTGCTTCGAAAGTTCTCAACCCTCGGCCATAGAGGAGAGAGTAGCCCAATCTGCGAGGCCTTCGCAAAAAAATTCTGGAGTGGCCCTGCTGCAATTTCATTCCCTCGTAAATTGGTGTTTGGATATTAGAGCAGAAGAAGTGAAGAACAGAGCAATTTCATTCTACCTCCATCTCTGATTCAAGAAACCAACCAAAGAACCGATGAACGAGGATGAGAGAGGCAACAACACTTATGTTGCCACCATCGCCGTGAAGCTTGGATGGATGGATCATGGATCTAAGACAAGTATAGCAACCACGTATGCGCCGCGCCGCTAGGAGCTAGTCTGGTACCTTGTCTTGCTCGGCTGGCTGGAGGAGGAAAGCAAGCGAGATGTGCGAAATGGGCGGCGGGTCTCCTTCTCCGGCAGGCGGCACACCGAGTGCCTTGTTTTGCTCGCGAGTGAAGTAGGGCCTCCTTTGCTCCGAGCCGAAACAAGCGTTGTTTTGGGTGTCAGGTGAAAAAATTTATGTCTCCGTAAAAGGGAAAAAGTCTATGTTAAACCTTGAACTTGTAGAGATTAGGCGAAATGAACCCTCAAGTAAAAATTCCTATCGATTGAACCTAAACTATACAATCCCGGTCTAAATCCTGGGGTCATTTGACAAATGGAGATTGTCGATGTGGCAAAGGATGACCGGGATTGGTGACATTTTCACAAGGAAAAAGTCCAAAATAAACCATAAACTTGTAGACAAAAGCTAAATCAAACCCTGAACTTTGAATCCCGGAAATTGACACTCTGAACTTGTAATCCCGGTCTATTTTAGACACTAGACCTATTTGGCACACCGGGAATACAACAATCCCGGCCGGGATGACCAGCTACTCTCACGGACCAGAATTTGGGCCGGCCCACTATAACACAACAAGAATTCATGAAGTTTAAAAAATGTTCGCACATTTCTAAAATTGTTCAAAAGTTTAAAAAAATGTAGCTGTTTTATATTTTTGACAAGAATACAATTCATGTTTTCTAAAAAATATTTGGGATTCTGAAATTCTGTTTGCATTTTATAAAACTGTTCGCGATTTAAGAAAATCACATTTGTCAAAACATGTTCAGAATTACAACAGTTTTTCACATCCTATGAATTTTCTTTCGGATTTTCAGAATTGTGTCGCATTTGTTGAATATATGTTTTGGAATTTCATAAATTATCTCGTAAATAATGTTTTTGAAAAATGTTTCGGATTGTTGGCTGCGGACTCGACTGGGCCGGCCCAACAGACATAAAGTGAGTGTTTTTTCTTATCACGCGCCATAAAGATTCCTTCTTTCTTTTTCTTAACGCACGACGTAATAAATCCGAAAGAGAAAAACATGTTGTGGAGTCGAACTTTGGACCTGGCAGAGTTGACCTGATTTTGCTAGCCACTACAGCAGACGACTATGACTTACACAATAAGAGGCTGGAAATATTTAATTAGAAACCAAAGTGTCAAACTTTGAAAACTTTTTTAGGGGCAAAAAAGTATTGAACACGTATTTATTTCTGAAATCTTCTAATGTTATAAAGTGCGTTTTTGAAAATTTTGAATACTTTTAAAAAACTAACAACTTTCAAAAAGAGAACACATTTTGAAACATAAACATTTTCTTAAACCTGAACAAAATTTTAGAGTGCAAACACTTTTTGAAACATAATTTTTTTTCTGAAACCGGAACAAAATTTTAATGTGTGGACACTTTTTGTACAATGTAAAAAAATGTTTACGTGTTGTAAAAAAATGTATCATAACCTTAACAGAATATACGTGACATGTGTTTTGAAAGAAGTGCATGCAAATTTTAAAATGTTGAACCATGTAAAAGAGTGTTCGTGTAGTTTTATAGAATGTTTATTGTCAATAAGAAAATGTAAAACAGGTATTTGGAAAAATATGACCATGTACTCAAAAAAGTTTTGAAAACGTTTAATTTAAAAATCTCCATCATGTATTTGAAAATATCAAAAGTTTATCAAATATTTAATGTGTGCGTTAAAAATGTATATTGGGTACTGAGAAAGATTACACATGTGTAAAAATGAAAAAAAATGTAAAAGAAAAACACTAAGAAAAAAACAAATTAGTGCGCGCATGAGCGACTGCGCTACTGGGCCGGCCTAATTCAGCAAATACTGGCGAAGTCCTCTCAGGATTTAAAATAAACCGGGATTAGAAAATTTGGTGTGCCGATTTCCGGGATTGAGAGTTCGGGGTTTGATTTAGCTTTCGCCTGTAAATTCAAGGTTTGTTTTGGACTTTTTCCTTTTCACAAATGGCGCACGGCCTGCTCCCCGCTGGGCCAGCCCGCTTTTTTTTTTTTGCATTAGAACGCTAAAAATAAGCGCAAACAGGGCACACCCTGCTCCCTTTTGGGCCGGCTCGCTTTACTTTCCTTTTTTCGTTTAAAGTAAAAGCGCGGGGTGGCTCGGAGTCTTGTTGTCGATCAACGCAAGATAAAATAGTTTGATTATTATTAATGATGCCGAAAAACAGTTTGATTATTGTTAAGCTTGTACGGTACTGTTACTCCGAGTGGTTGGATTTGGATATGTACTTGTTTCTGCTCTTTCTGCCGTCCTCGCCACGGAAGCACTCACTGAGTTTAAAATACAGCCGCGTTCAGAGAAGCACTGCCACGAGTGCATGGTAAATTACCATGTGTCGAACTTCTTCTTTAGTTGTCGTGTGAGGGAAATGACAAGATAACCGGGCACTTGGCGTGTGTGTTGTCAAATTATTTTAAACTATATAAAAACCGATGGTCAACATATGAGAAGTTGGCAGGGTGCTTGTTAGTGTGGAATGGGAATAAAAGTACCCATTAGTGTCGGTGCATACGATGCAGAGGGCGATCTCAGACCACACACCATTACTAGTGGACTCAGAAGACGCAGCCCATATTGGGAACAAGAACACTTTCTTTTTCAAACTAGGTTGGCTCGAGAAAGAAAACTTCATGAAGATCATTGCACGAGAATGGGCGAAGCCTGTTAGTGGACGATCAAGTATTGAGATATGGCAAAACAAAATTAGACATCTGAGACAATTCTTACGGGGTTGAGCCAGAAACGAGAGTGGGATATACAAACAAGAAAAAGAGCGACTCACCCAGTTAATAGATGCTCTGGATTTAAAAGCAGAAGTAAACATTCTTAATTTAGTCGAGCGGAGCTCGAAATCCGAAGCCGGGCAATGCTTACGAGCTCTTCTTAGAGAAGAGGAGCTCAACTAGGCATTGCATGCTAAGGTGCTTAAGGTTGTCGAAGGGGATGACAATACTCAATTCTTTCACATGATTGCAAATGAGAAACATAGGAAGAAGAAAATAATACAGCTTGAACAGGACGAAGGGACAATTGTGGCTCATGAGAATCTGAAAGCTTATATCTCTAATTATTATAAACAACTTTTCGGCCTCTGGAAACGAGCACGGTGTCCCTTAATGAGTCTGTTATTGGAGATATTCCTCAACTTAAAATGGTATTCTGTCTGCACCGTTTACTGAGAAAGAGGTTCTAGATGCAATTTCACAAATGAAACCGAATAAAGCACCGGGACCGGATGGGTTTCCCGTGGAATTCTATAGGAAATGTTGGCATATTATTAAGGATGATCTTATGCCTATTTTTCAAGTTTTTTTAACGGTCATTTAGAACTGTTTCATCTTAACTTTGGCATGACTACGTTGTTGCCAAAGAAAGAAGAGGCAGTTCGGATCGAGCAATTCAGGCCAATATGTCTTCTCAACATGAGTTTCAAAATATTCACGGACGTGAGCACCAATAGATTGACATGGATTGCCCATTCGGTGGTGCAACCGAGCCAGACAACTTTCATGCTTGGCAGACACATTCTTGAAGGGGTCGTCGTCCTGCATGAAACGCTGCATGATCTTCATTCGAAGAAGCTACTCCCTCCGTTCCGAATTACTTGTCGCATGTATGGATGTATCTAGATGTATTTTAGTTCTAGATACATCTGTTTCTGCGATGAGTAATTTGGAACGGAGGGAGTAGATGGGGTTATTTTTAAAGTGGACTTCAAGAAGGCATATGATCAAGTTAAATGGCCTTTCCTTCAGCAGGCAATGCGCATGAAAGGTTTTAATGAGGCATGACGGAACCAAGTGGGTTCTCTAGTCCAAAAAGATAGTGTCGGAATCAAGGTTAACGATGATATCGGTCACTATTTTCAGACACACAAGGGATTGAGACAAGGAGATTCAATGTCTCCTCTCCTATTTCGTATAGTGGCCGATATGTTGACCATTCTTATAGGAAGGGCCAAGGAAAACGGTCAAGTGGATGGGCTTGTACCTCATCTGGTCAATGGGGGAGTCTCCATTTTACAGTATGCTAATGACACTATCCTTTTCATGGAACATGACATTGCAAAAGCGCGGAATATGAAACTCATATAATGTCTCTTCGA